GCCAGGGCCAGTTCTGTCCTTCGGTCATGCGGGTCTAGAACTCAAGCTGCCAGACTTGGCAGCATGAGCCTTTACCCAGGGAGCCATCTCCCAGCCCCCAGGCGTGAAATTAATGTAAGTACACCTTCCAGGATAGAGGGCTGACTGAGCAGGCCACAAGAGCAAATGGCTGCCTCTGGGATCTGGACTTCCCTAGCCTCTCATTTTCTCTTTCCCACCTTTGTGGCAATCTGAGGTGATCTCCTTCCTGGAATAAGTGGAGGTTTTCTTAGAAGTCATTCTTACCCACAACCCAGTCTGTTACAACTAGGAGCATTAGATACAAGAATATGTGTATAAGAGTGTAAACCCCCATGATGTTGAGAAGCTTACTAAGGGGAATGGCAATGATGTCCCATACGTGCCCCTCAGGGAGGGTTATGGGAGTGAGCCAGAGCCTCCTGAGATAGCCTTCGTCCTGCCCTTCCTCTTATGTAGCTTAGCCGTCTCATACCCAGCTCAAGCCCTCTCATTTACCTCCCGCAGTGTTCCCAATCGTGCTCTTTTAACCCTAACATTTGTTTGATCATAGCATAACCACACCTGTATGTACCCCATGGAGGGTATTTTGATCATAAAATGGCAGGACCCCAAATCCTCACCTATTGGGACGGAGTTCTGCCTAAGAATGCCATATAAGACTTTGCCTGGAAAAGCCGTTTGTTTGTTTGTTTATTATGAGGTTTTGTTTTGAGGTCTTTGTCCTATGTTTTCTTTTAGCAGTGCCCGGGATAGAACCTATCACCTCCTGTTTGCTAGGCAAGTACTTTACCACTGAGTCACACCCCAGCCCGAGTCCCACCAAGCTGCCCATGCTGCCTTGAACTTCTTCTCTTCCTGCCTAGGATCACAGGCCCACACCTCCAGGCCGAGGCTTCACCCCCTCCCCCAGTGCAAAATCCACATGGCCTGTATTTAGCATCTATTACTTGATTCTTTGGGGAGAGAGGCCAGCTAGCACAGGTGCCATGTAAGACCTGGGCGCTATACGCGGGCTCTTGGAGGACAAAGGAAAGGCTGGTTTTGATGAGACAAAGAACGTATGAGCAGGGCAGCTCGGACCTGGAGCAAGCTGGCCCCGGGGGTGCACTTCATGTCAGTTTGCATCTCACCACAGGGACACTAGAAGGAGGCAGGCCATCCCAACCAGCTGAAGAGGGGTGGGGAGATGACTCATCAGGTAAAAGGCTAGTCACCCCAGAGTGAAGACCAGAATTCAGATCCCCAGAGTCTGTGAAAAACCAAGTGGACATAGTGGCCTGCCTATGACCAGGACGCAAAGAGGGGAGTCTCGGGAGCAAGCTAGCTAGCCAAACTAATAAAATGGCTCCAGGTTCAGCAAGCACCCCTGCCTCAATATACGAGATGGTGAGCATTTGAAGAAGATACCCAACACCAACCTCTGGTAGCTACACACACACACACACACACACACACACACACACTACTCAAGCACACACATATATGCAAAATATATAAATAACTTAGGAGCAGAATTCAGCAAGAAAAATATTTTTAGAAAGATAGTCTTCATTACATTGTGAAAGGTCCAAATGATTTGTGTTCCAGGGAATGGAGAAGTTAGACAAGAGGAGGAGCTTCCATGCAGGGTCCCCTGGATCCTTAAATCACATGAAGCAAGGAGCCCTCGACATCTGCAAAAGGAGCAAGCAAGAGTGTGGAGATGGGAAAAAAAGAGTGTGGAGATGGGGCGTGGGTGCGGTGAATGAGTGAGGTCGACTCACAGGTGACTCCTTCCTTCATTCCTGAGCCACAGCACACAGAATCTATCTTAAGCGCTGCCCCCAGCATCTTGAGGGGGCTCCACAGAGCCCTGGGAAAATGCCAGTGTGGCAATTTAGTGGTGAGCAGCAACACTAATGAGTGCCAAGAATAACAGTGGCTTCCTAATGGAGCCCTTAATGAAGACTCATTTTGGATTTTATTAACGCAGAGGAAGAGCACACACTTTTTTTTCTCCTCCTGCAATAGAAAGCAGCCTCAACTATAGGCTAGACCCCTTTTCTAGATCCTGCTTCAGAAGTGAGGAAGAAGGACAGGCTTGGAGATTCGAACTCCCAACACTTCCTCAGCCCTCTAGACCCAACACTTCAGGTAGCCTCAGGGAGAGATTGCCAGCAAGGCTTAGCTCTGCAAACTGTAGGCAAGCTGCAGATAAGAACACAAAGAAGACCATCCCCAGGTATCTGCTAACAGATAGTTGATTCACATGAAATCATGTCAGAGCACTCTCCCCTCAGGAGACTAATGCTGTGCAGCTCTCCAGGCTGATGAAGGGCCGACTCACCTCACCCAATGTTGCTCCCCATCACCAGGATGTTGGTGGCATCACATGTCTCAAGAGAAATTCAGACCAGACCCACCAACTGACCTCAAGTGCCAGAAGACCAACACCTTAGGGCTGGTTGATGCCCTTGCCTTCTGATGAAATGCCCTGCTTTATGAGAAGTTAGAAACTCATTCGAAACCCAAAGGGTTGGTGTGGCTAGGCCATGGTCCAGGATTTCCTGGGTCTCACCCTGTTTGACATCTTCCTTTATGCATTGTTGGTCTCCTCTTTCAGGCCTATAAAACTTGGCTAAAGGACCAGCTTGGGGATGGAGAAAAATGGTATCTGGGGTCCTTCTGGGTTAGACTCTAGAGGAATCACTGAAGCGTCGGTAAAGGCCAGAGCACAGGGTAGGTTCCCTGCACGTCAGAGATGCCAATCAGCCTGCTGGGGAAAACCCCATCTTGCATATCATTGACCACCCCCCATAGGAAAGCTCAACAGAAGACATTGCAATTGTCCTCCAAACACTCCCTGGTTGTCACTCACTGCCATCCAGGAACACCCATAGCTCACACACCCTTACCATATTCATGAGATGATTGGCCTGGGAACATGCTAGTGGGCATGGGGGAAGGTTCCCACCAGATCCCTCCAGACCAGATGGTGATTGTCTTTGCATGGGAAAGAGGAGTCAGTGCCTGGGAGGACATCCACACGCTTGCAGAACTGTGGGTACAGGCTGGAGTCGTGACCCAGTTGACAGAGTGCCTGTCTGGTTTAAACCTCAGCACAGCATGAACAAGACAAGGTGGAGCGTGCCTATAATCCTACCCAGCACACAGAATGTAGAAGCAATAAGATTAGGGGTTCAAGGCCACCCTTGTATACATTCCAAGTTCAAGGCCAGTCTGGACTTAAAAAACATACTGTAGGTAATGATGAGTGCCACACACCACCACCCTGTACCAAGTAAGCAGCATTTTGTCTCTTTTAACAGAAGGGAACGATGTCCATTTGTGACACAGACATCTCAAGTCAGTTACCCAAGGTCACACAGCAAGAAGCTGGGAGAGCCAGGCAAGAAGCAGACCTCCCCCATCCAGTTCACCAGCCATGGTCTGCATCTATAAACTGCGCCCTCCATGTCCAGGGGACCACATGCACTGAGAAGTCAGAATAAGGGATTTTCCTGGGACCTGGGAGCTGGGGGACTCTCATTAAGAAGTGACAGACCAACCAGAAGAGAAGTTGGCATTTGATGACCACCTGCTGTGTGCCAAGCTCAATGGCGCATACTCACTATGCAACCTTACCTGAGTCTCATAAGCTTCTGAGGTTAACATTATCGTCCCAAAGAGTCTTAGGTTCAGAGACAGCAAGCAACGTTCCTGAAGTCACACAGCTGGAAGTGGTGGATAGATCTGAACCTGGCTCCAGGAAGAGAAGGCAAAGCCACCGACTTCACTAGAGGTCACAGTAGATGCTAGGGACAGTGCAGAAAAGAGTTCAGAGAATGCCACTAGAGACCTCTTTTCTCAGCAGAGGGCTTGTCTTTCTTGGGTCTGACAATGTAGGAGAGGGCCAGGTGTTTCTTGGTCTGCAGATATTTTTACCCTATCAGACTGCCTTCATTTCCCAGGAGGACCGTGAAAATGACAAAGGAATGCATAGATGAGAGTCCACTAATATGCAAGGAGGCTGCAGAGTTTTTAAGCACCAATGCAGCCTTGTTAATCCATTTTCCCCAGAGAGGTTCCTACTCATCTACTCACAAGGCTCCCAGCACAGCACTGAGCACCAGTGACCACCATTAGCATCCTTGAGGGCCACACAGCCCAGCTGCCAGCAGCAGAGGGGGCAAGCTTTGGCTTCCCAGGCTTGGAGCCTCAGTTTCCTCCACATCTGTGAACTACCACATAGGCTGCCACAGCATGGAAGAGCCTGTCACCAGCCTCCCTCTGAGATTTCCCCCATACCGGTTTCTTCAAGCCAAGTCACCGCCAGCTCACCGGCCACTCCAATGCCTCAATCCCATGGGACTCCCTCCCCCCCAAGAGGGGACAGGGCTGCTGAGAATGCCATCTCTAGGAAAGCCACAGGGACAACATCCCAGGAGATGGGTGGAACCAGTATGTGGTTCTCATAGCCAGGCAGGCATCATCCAGGAGATTAAAAAGCAGAAAACCAGGCTGGGTGGTGGTGGCACATGCCTATAATCCCAGCACGCGGGAGGCAGAGGCAGGTGAATCTCTTTGAGTTTGAGACCAGCCTGATCTACAGAGCAAGTTCCAGTACAGGCTCCAAAGCCACAGAGAAACTCTGTCTCAAAAAACCAAAGAACAAAACAAACAAACAAAAAAGCAGATAACCTACACACACACACACACACACACACACACACACACACACACACATACATACACATATGGTTTGTGACTTAAGTTGTCCCCTGACAAAATACAGGGTGTCCTCTCAATCCACAGGACCCCATGAGACTGCTGATGGGTGAGGATCAGTGGCACTTACTAACCAGGAAAGGACTCAAGAGGGGTCAGTGACAGAGGACCAAATGCCCACACTGTGCCCTCACAATCTCTCTCACAATGCCACCAAGCTCAGGCTTCAGCTGTTTCCTGGCCCCTCCAGTGCCTCCTAAGAGGCAAATCAAGCCTCCTGCCCCCTACAGACCCCGTACCTCTCCAGTCTGCCATGAGTCCTCTTTGATGTCACCCTATCCCCCCCCCAACCTTAGGTTAAGAGACTTCCTGCCTTTGCCCGTGCTGGCCATTCCTGGGCCACACTTGTCAGAACCTCCCAGGAGCCATCACCTCTGTGACAGCCGAGTGCTGCTGGAGACTGTGTCCCCACGGCTCTGGTTGCCCTCCCCATCCTTCCTCTGCCGTGAGCACCCAGTCCCTGAAGTCAGGGCGGACCTAGTGACACTGGGATCCCCAGGACTCAGCTTAGAGCCTGGTGACAGAGATTGGTGAGTAGCAGGTTCTTAGGAGGAGCCGTAAAGAAACTCACATCTTCCTCCTTTACACAGTACCGGAGGATGTGTCAGTGGGAACTGTCAAATTCCATGGGTGATCCAAGGCCAAACTTTGGCAATGGTCTAGCCCCAATGTCATTGTTCCTGGAAAGAGGAAGATTTGGAGTCTTCACCACTCTATTCATAAATTAGTTTCTTTTTCTTTTCTTTTTTGGATTTATTTTATGTGGGATGCAGGACAGTCATGGAGGTCAGAGGTCAACAGGCACTAGTCTGGTCTCTCCTACCACATAAATTGAATTCAGGTCACCAGACTTGCCCACAAGGGCCTTTACCACATAAGCCAAATTGCCGATCTTTCTGTTTATAAACTCTTACAGGGGCCTCACTTTCGTGTCTCCTGGCCACCTCCATCCTGTCAGCTCCAAGACAAACATGCCTGCACAGGCAGCTCCCTCCTCGAAGCTCTAGCCCCTGTCTCCCTCCATGCTGCCCTTCCCGTGCCCGCCTTGTAGCAGGAATGTAATTAGGCCTTTCCCAGGATGGCAACCCCTCCGCACAGTTGGGCTGCCCGTCCAAAGGGGATAATTTATGGAAATGGGTAAAGGTGTTTTAAATTATTCAATTTAAATGTAAATAGGGGAGATGGTTTCTCTGAATAAATTGTCTTATTTATGTTCCACCCGACTCCCCTCCCAGGGAAACAGGGAGCAGTTTGGAGCCCTCTGGAACACAAGGCCCTCCCTTCTCTTTAAATAATGTGGGAATGGGGAATGGTGTTCTGAGACACAGCAATGTCCTCAACAGCCACTGTCTCAGCTGGAATCACAGATATGCGAGGGCTCACTGACATCCAGCCTCAGGAGGACTTTACCCTGACAGGGCACGTGTCCAGGGAACCCCTCACCCCATCCCTGTCTCCTAGAAGACAATGGCCTGGGGCAGCAGGCCCTGCCATCCTCCTGCTCTACCCTGGGTCTCTTTCCAGCTGAGTGTCAGGTGTTAGTAGCCAGCTTCACACATCCCGAAAAGTGTGTATGCTCTGAGCTATCAAAAAACTGTAGGGCCCGGCTCTTTGAGAATCTTTATCCAGATGGGATCTCTTAAGTACAAGCCACTTGAAAAGGAAGTCCATTTGTGTCTGAGTGTGTGCGTGTGCATGTGTTTGAGTGTGTGCATGTGTTTGAGTGTGTGTGTGCATGTGTTTGAGTGTGTGTGTGTGTGTGTGTGTGTGTGTGAGAGAGAGAGAGAGAGAGAGAGAGAGAGAGAGCTTGAGTGTTTGTGTGTTTCCTCTATGGCTCTCTTATGGGCACATGGCATCCTATGACCAGACCAGGAGACAGTTGGGGTAAGTTAGGGTCTTGGCTCCAGACAGCAACTCTCTGAGACTTTCTCAGAGGAGCAGAAAAGTCTGCCTCCACCCCACCAGAAGACTGCTCACTTCACACTGGTCCATTCTTAAGCAAATGCTGGTGAGAAGAGGGACTTGACTCAGTTCCGTTGGGTAGCTCAGGTCCTGAGGGTGTAGTCAGCTGTGTGGATAGGCCCTGCATCCTGAGGAGACATCAGAGCCAGGCTGGAGAAGAGCAAATGGGATGAGGCACTGGGTGAGCAGCCGCGGCTGTCATCACAGTGGAATCAGTGCGTTGGCATCCTGAGATCAATGAGTCTTTTAGTCATTAACCATGCTGGTTTCAGCCTTCCCCTTTTGAACTGGCACAGTTCCTTTCCACCTAATTTTAAGAGCCAGGCTGTCACCCAAGTACCAAAGACTCAGACTGATGGCTCAGACCACAGACTGTGTGGCAAGACCAGTCCACATATAGCACAACACTGTCCAGGGGCTGTCAAGTCTTCCAGGGAGATCCAAAAATAGAAAGACTGCAGAGCCCAGCAGGGCCACCAACACCAACCTCACTCATCAGGCCATTCCTCTACAGTGTGGAATGACTGCCCACTGTGCCAGGACTGTGCCAGGCACAGCTGGACGTTCACTGGTAGAAAGGGGTGGGGGACTTGTCTCTCTGAGGACTCTGACATCCTTGCAATGGACCCTACCACGCTTGCTGGTTGAGCTGAAAACATCTTTCCCAGGTTTGGGAGTGGAGTCTACCCCATGAGTCACGCCTTCCCGAGATAGAAAGCGGAAGCTCGACTATCCAGCCTCCTTTGCAGCTGGAGTTCAGACATGTGATTTAGACTCCACTGCTCAAATTGACTCATCAGGGGCCTGGCTTTAGAAGGAAGGAATGTGAGTAAGGAGGACAATGCCCAGAATCCATCACGCTTGGCAGGGGTAGTAATGGAAGATTCTGGCTGCCGAAGTAGATGTTATGTCAAGATTAAGTTCCTGGCCCAGAAGTTAGTCAGCAGGGGGGCTGACAGCAGGACAGAAGCTCCCCACTGGTGCCTGGAGGGACAGCAGCGGCCTCTGTAGGCTCTCTGTTGGCTAGCTCTGTGCACAACAGGCCTCATGCCTGCAAGCTTAGCCTTCACAATGGTTCTCCACCCTCCCCAGCTTTCTCTGTAACTGTGCGAGACAGCCAGAATTTTTCAAGGAAAGTCCTTTTCTGCTTCGCCAGTTGGAATTGGTTGCCATTGCCATAGCTCCATTCAGGCAGCTGTGACAAAGCACCATAGACTGTGACAAAGTACCATAGACTGGGACATAGTACCATAGACTGTGACAAAGTACCATAGACTGTGACAAAGTACCACAGACTGTGACATGGTACCATAGACTGGGACATAGTACCATAGACTGTGACATGGTACCATAGACTGTGACAAAGTACCATAGACTGTGACATGGTACGATAGACTGTGACAAAGTACCATAGACTGTGACATGGTACCATAGACTGTGACAAAGTACCATAGACTGTGACATGGTACCATAGACTGTGACAAAGTACCATAGACTGTGACAAAGTACCATAGACTGTGACATGGTACTATAGACTGTGACATGGTACCATAGACTGTGACATAGACTATAGACTGGGACATGGTACTATAGACTGGGACATGGTACTATAGACTGGGACATAGTACTATAGACTGGGACATGGTACTATAGACTGGGACATAGTACCATAGACTGGGGCATGGTACTATAGACTGGGACATAGTACCATAGACTGGGACATAGTACTATAGACTGGAGCTCATAAACAACAGACATTTATGTCTACAGAGCTGCAGGCTGGGGAGTCTAAAATCAAGAGCTCAACAGATTTGATGACCAATGAGGGGTTTGAGGGCCTGTGGCACCTCCTAACTGTACCCTCACATCTACTAGAGGCAAAGGGCCTCCCATAGGTCTCCTTTATAGGGGTATTAATCCCATTCTCAAGGGATTGCCTCTGAGACACCCAAAAGACTTGAGTTGGAGCTTAGAATTCATCATGTAAACTTGGTTGGGGATGAATCCAGACCCAGCACTGACTGATGTAGAAGGCCACTCCATCCCTAAGGAGCCCTTCATCCTGATGACACAGTCTGGGCAGCCCTTGCTTTTCATGTCCATCCTCATCTGGAGTCTGAGAACTTTGCTCATGTCTCCCAAGTCTTTGACATCCCCTCCCCCAACACACACACACACACACACACACACACACACACACACGCAGGCACGCATGCACACGCACGCGCACACATGCACATACACATGCACACAGACCACTCTGAGATGCCTGAGACTTAGGTCACATCTTTTCTATCCTTACGTCTCAGATTTCCTTTAGACCCTCAGTTTATTGGTAGCCAATGATGTCACTGTCTTCATTACATGACATCAAAAAGTACAGGCTGGGGCCAAGCATAGTAGCATATCCCTTCAATCCCAGCACTTGGAGATGGAGGCAGGAGGATCAGGAGTTCAAGGTCATCTTTAGCTGCTTATCAAGTTTGAGGCCAGCCTGGGCCATGGGAGACCCTGTCTAAAGAGAGAGAGAGACAGAGACAGAGACAGAAACAGAGGAGAAACAACATCTAAGCTCTGAGCAGAGTAACATAGAGATGATTGACACTTTACCGACCCTTCCGACCATCAGCCACTTGTTTCTCATTCATGGCTCCAGGTGCTGCAGCCCCCCTAAAATACCACAGGTATGTATGCCCTCTGGCTCCTCACAGGTTCCCTACCCCTGCCTGGCGCCTGGTAGCACCTCCTTCCATGCTGCTGGTCCACTATGGTTTGGGCATGCATGCCCCTCACAGGCTCACATATTTGTTTATGGAGCCTCAGCTGGTGGCATTGCCTTTGGAACCTGTGCAACCTGATGAGGCCTAGCTGTCAGAGGTGGGTCACTGGGAGAGAGGGGGTCACAGGGGAGGGGGGTCACGGGGAGAGGTGGATCATGGGGGGGTCACTGGAGGAGGTGGGTCACTGGGAGAGAGGGGGGTCACGGGGGAGGGGGCCACGGTGAGAGGTGGATCATAGGGGGTCACTGGAGGAGGTGGGTCACTGGGAGAGAGGGGGTCACGGGGGGAGGGGGCCACGGGGAGAGGTGGATCATGGGGGGTCACTGGAGGAGGTGGGTCACGGGGGGAGGGGAGGTGGGTCACTGGGGGTGGGTCACGGGGGAGGGCGGTCGCGGGGGGGGGAGGTGGGTCATGGGGGGTCACTGGGGGGAGGGGGTCACAGGGAGGGGGAGGGGGTCACAGGGGGGAGGTGTGTCACAGGGGGAGATGGGTCACTGGGGGGAGGTGGGTCACTGGGGGAGGTGGGTCACTGGGGGGAGGTGGGTCATGGGGGGTCACTGGGGGAGGGGGTCACAGGAAGGGGGAGGGGGTCACAGGGGGAGGGGGTCACAGGGGGAGGTGGGTCACTGGGGGGAGGTGGGTCACTGGGGGAGGTGGGTCACTGGGGGAGGTGGGTCACTGGGGGGAGGTGGGTCATGGGGGGTCACTGGGGGAGGTGGGTCACTGGGGGGAGGTGGGTCACGGGGGGAGGGGGAATTGGGTCACGAGGGGGGTCATGGGGAGGGGGAAGGGGGTTTACAGGGGGAGGTGTGTCACAGGGGGAGGTGGGTCACTGGGGGGGAGGTGGGTCACGGGGGCAGGTGGGTCACGGGGGTCCTGTTCCCTGCCCTCTTTCCGCTTCCTGATTCATTTAGATGTGAGCAAGCTGCTGTGACCGCAGCTGCAACCCATGTCCTCTGCTATGTCTTCCCCACCATGACAAACTGTATCCCTTCTAATTGTGAACCAAAATGAATCCTTTTTTCCTGAAGTCACACCTCTCGAGTATTTTGTCATAGCAATAAGAAAAGCCACTGAGAGTGCTCCCAGCTCTGTCTGTCCACCCACCCCCAGGCCCAGGAAGTGCTAGGCAAGGTTGGACATGGGGGTTGATGTTGTCGAAGCCTCTGGAGAGATGTGCCCACATGATCATGTGGGTAACCTAGGCATATCCCCATCCTGGCCAAGCCTGTGCACATAAGCTCCACTCTATTCCCTCTGCAGGAAGAGCAGGAGGAAATGGACAGGCTTTCTGGAATCAATTTCACGCCCTTGGCCATGATAAACAACCCGGCAGAAAGAAGCCCTGTGAGGGAGTTAATGGCTGTTGGGTAGCTAGATAATGCATCACTCCCTGGGCAGAGGAACCCAGCCCAGAGGCTCCCTCTGCTCATGCATCTTTCCCCAGTACCCGATTCTCTTCAGAGCCTCACATACCCAACACACCTTCCCAGGAACATCCAACCTTTTCCATGCCATGGCAGCATACTGCCTCATGCTTCCACGGGGCTTAGATGGGCTTAGGGCAGAATGCAGCTGTCCACATGGCGTAAGCAGTGAGCATCAGAACTCAAATGGAGTTAGACCATCTGGACCCAATCCTGGATCCTCTCCTCACTCCCTGTAGAGAGTGGGCCTAAGTAGAGCAGACTTCATAAAGTTCTTCTGCTGTTTGCATGGATCCTGACATACTAAAAACCCTTAGTAATGTTAGACGTGCCCGTGACGATGACTGTGACAGTGAGAGCCCACAGCCCCTGTGTTCTCCTTCTCCTCACGGCTGCTGTGAAAAGTTGGCCAGCCCTACCACAAGCAGGAGAGAAACATGTCCAGACTCCTGTTAGCATCAAGCCCTACAAGTCACACATCAACCAGGCCCCGCTCCCCTATCTAAAGAAATAGTGACCCCTGTCACGTAGCCCAAGACATGAGTGCCCCTCTGACAACCTCTGTCAAGTACCTAGGTTGCAAATTAACTAAGCCTGGTTCTTTAACCTTGAAGGAGGCTCTCCCCCTCCCACAGAAAACTTTAAGAGTAGACACCTTGATGTCTGGAGGGACCAAAGCCTCTCACTGAGAGCTTTTCCCTGCTGCCATGGTTGTCTTCTCTGGAATACAATTTGGCTCAGCACCTCTGTCTCTTGACTCACCTCTCCTCTCCCTTCCCCCAAACCTGATGATGATGGTAATGATAATATGAACAAGCATTTGTTCCCCCCAAACTCAAACTGGGGCACAAAACGATTCAGCAGAGATGACATAAGCCAGTCCCGAGACCTCTAGAGCCCTTGTAGCTTCCCATTCATTCCTAGAACCCCATAACACCATGTGACCCATCAGACTGCCATGCTAAAGCAGGGAAGTAGAATGGCCCAACCTCCTCAGATGAGATCTCCTTCCACCAACCTGTAACCAACTGGCCCTCGAAACCTAGACCCCCCCCAAACCTAGATCAATACAGGTGCCCCTCGAACCGTAGCTAGCCTCAGTTCAGTAATGGACTTACTTCAGCCAAGAACCAGGAAATCACTCAGTTCACCAGGTTCTCTGGAGTAATCAAACTACGGTTTCTAGGTGACCTGTTTCCAAGTCCGAGGAAAAGCAGCACTTAAGAGAAGGCCTGGGGGAAGGGGGAACCATAGCAAGATGGCTTAGTGGGTAGCGGTGATTGCCACCAAGCCTGGTGGCCTGAGTTCCATCCCTGAGATCCACATGTTAAAAGCAGTTGTCTTCTGATCTCTACATGGGTGTCATGACTTGCACACAAGTGTGTGCAAATAGATGATGGATGGATGAAAGAGAGAGAGAGGAGGAAAGGAAGGGAGGAAGGCAGGAAGGAAGGAAAGCCAAACCGAGGGTCATGGTGCTGGAGAAAGGGGGAGGGTGTTCTATTTGGAGGCCTTGAAGGAACGACCCTTTTCTACATTACTCAGTTCAGTGTCTGGGTCCGGTCCGGGTCCGGGTCTGGGTCTGCCCTGAATCAGTGATGTGAGCTCTAGCTTCAGCCCTAGTCCTCGCCTTCACTGGCCCCTGTTACATCTACTGCTTGAAGATCCCCCGGCTAGGAGATGCAAGGCTGTGATCTTCCCACAGCGGAGAAGAGGTTCCTTGCAGATAAAACCCGAGGTGGGATCTCCACAGTGGAGAAGCATCCGGGGCCAGACACCCCCACCCAGGAGAAGCAATCAGCCCTAGGACCCGCAGCAAGGCCGCTTGACATTTGATGGGAGTCATTATCAAACACTTATTCCCAATCAGGCCTCAAGTACTTCTGAGGCCCTCGCCTGCCTCACTTCAGAGCATGGCTGGGAACAGGGAGGTGTCCCCGCAGGCTAGGCCCAAGTCCTTGCCAGCCTCTTCTTGGACTCCAATGTCTCTCCTCCTGCTGAGGCTTTCAGAGCAGCTGCCCGTGGTTCCAGAGGCAGCAGACTAGTGGATCCCCAGCCAGGTTCACCACAACAGGTGCTGGGTCAGAATCAGACCCCAGATGGTTCCGGGAAGGGCTCTGCCTCCCCCACTCACAACTCTGGGGACTGTGAGCCCCCTGGGAAGATTCCTGCTCCCTTCTTCGTCTTCCCCCAGACACATGCCGGAAGTCCTTCCTTGACAGAGCAGGCCAGATGGGAGACTATGGTTCAGGAGGCTGAAGACATGGGCTCTCCCTACTCCCCAGTGGGTGATAGACCAGTCAGTTCACCTCTCTTGATCTGAAAAAGGAACAAGGATGCCTTTAACCCCTGCTCTCTCTGTTTGGGGCTGCTGAGAAAATCATATTCTTTAATTTATGGGCAAGCACTTGATAAGCGTCTACAAACAGGCAAGCTCAGTTGAGCCAGGCATGGACCTGATGGTGTGTGTGTGTGTGTGTGTGTGTGTGTGTGTGTGTGTGTGTGTGTGCACCCAAGTCCATACCAGTATTTCACTTCCTGCCTCAGCAACCTAATAGCAGTATTTCTTTGTTTGGAATTATCTGCTATTTTTCACCATCCCTGTTTCGATTTGGGCAGTGAATCAGCTGTATTGATGTGTTTCAGTGTGAATACAGAGGCAATTCTGTGCTTATGAAAGAAAGGGAGTTTTAACAGCCTGTCCAGAAGTGTGGCTCTGTGGTACAGTGCTTTCTGGAATGTTCAAGGTCCAGGGTTCAATTCCCAGTACTGCATAAAAGAAGAAAGCAAGCAGCAGGAGAAGGGATGGGGAAAGGGAGAAACAGGCCTCACTCTGGCCTGCAAAACACACACACACACACACACACACACACACACACACACACACACGCACGCAAGCACGCACGCACAGAGACAGAGAGAGAGAGAGAGAGAGAGAGAGAGAGAGAGAGAGAGAGAGAGAGAGTGTCAAGCAATTTAAAGACTCAACCAAATGTGAGATACGGAGAAAGAGGCAGATGAAAACGAACAATGGTCCTTTAGACAGGTCAGTCCAGAAGGCTTCCTGGAGGAGGAAGTAAGGACTGAGCTGGATTTTAGAAGTCTGTTCATATGAGCAGCAGGGGAAACGGCAGGAGTAGGGAGCATATGGGACAGAGATGGGTTCATTTTAACTTCTCTTATCAAACAATGGTAATTGCACTTTACACCTGTAGAGCAATCTAGGATTGGCAAAGATTTCCCATGTGATTTTTTATGTTTGGATCTCACAACTGTCACTTAACTACATAGGTCAGGTTTGGGGGGTGCTTTTGTTTTTGGTGGTGGTGTTTGGTTTTTTTGTTTGTTTGTTTGTTGTTTGATTGGTTGGTTGGTTGGTTGTTTTTTTCAAGACAGGGTTTCTCTATAAAGCCCTAGATGTCCTGGAATTCACTCTGTAGACCAAGCTGGACTTGAACTCAGAGATGCCTCTGCCTCTACCTCTGCCTCTGCCTCTGCCTCTACTGGGATTAAGGTCGTGCTCCACCACCACCTAACTGACAGGTCAGTTTTTAATTATTCTCATTTTATTTTTTCTTTTACGTGTTTTTATCCACTCTGGGGGTGGGGGCGCATTATGTGGCCTGGGGTCAAACTCAGGCCATCAGACTTGTTGGCAAATGCCTTTTTACCTGATAAGCCATCTCACCAGCCCTACACTGAGATTTTATAGATGAGAACACTGAGGTCCAAGTCCTTGGAGTGCCTGAAAGTCTCAGGGCTACTGTCTGTCCCGACCTGAAGCCGTCTGCACCCAATCCCCCTACCCTACTCTCCAGTGTGTCTAAGCATGCCTGTGAGAGTAAGCATGCCTCTGAGCTCCTTGGAGAAAGCAGTCTGGGCAATGGCCTCTGGGCTTCGTGTGGACTACCGGCCAGTAGAGGGCAGTGGTGGCTCCAGAAGGAGGTGGGATTGAGCCCAGCCTCCATCTCTGTCAGTTCCCTTGACTTCGGCATCTCTATCCCTGTCTGAAGCATTCAGCCCTGTGCCTGGGAAGCAGCGTTTGCTCAGTTCGTGGTAACCTCACTCTTAGTCCACCAAGATTTCCCTGACTGCCTTTTCACCATTGCCATCTTCCAGGATGAACGGGGTCTCCATTTCGCACCCTGTGACCATCGGCTGCCAATGTGACAGCTGACCCAAGCCATCACGGACCACGTGCTTCTCTCTCCATCTACTTGCAATCGAATGCCCAGACCTTACATTCTGCGGGCCACCAGCTGATGACCGGTCTGAGCCCCCAGATACCTGTTGAAACCCACTGCAGTTGCCAGGGCTCTCGTTTCTATTAAAACTCCATTTGCCAAGAAAGTGGAAAGGTAATTACGAGCACTAGCCTTAAATCACTCCACCGCTGAATTATTAAAGGGAAGAATTAAAAATAATCAGGCTTTTTCATTACACTTCATAGTGGGGAAATTAAAGGTGTAAGAATGTATTTTTTGCCTCAAATATAAGTATTCATTTTGGAGATTTATAGGGGAGTTGAAGTGATTCCCTGCATGCCTGCTTCATCTCTCTATAAAAGGGGGAG